CTCTCTGGTCAATCGACTGTTTTCAGTCATGACGGCTGAAAGCTGATGAATGAAACTCCTGGAAAGACAGGCAGGCAGACAGACAGACAGACAAGTCTCAGTCATCCAGATCAGATCGCTGAAAGTGTGTGTGTAGTGTAATTCGTACTGTATCTGTGTGTCTTGTTGCTTTAGCTTTATGTTTGTGTGTTATATTTTAACCTGTTACACACCGCCCCCCCGGTACCGGGCGGATAAACGCGTCATTTGCAGGAAACAACGTTTAAGGAATCTTAATATTTAATAAACTATGAATGTTTTATATCCATGTAACGGGAAGAAACTCAGCTAAGTGATCTTTTAAAAAAAAAAAATCCAAAAAAAACCCACAATGCTAACACTCAGCCTCTGAATTAGCCACGACCGAAAAAATGTAACCTAAAACAGCACCTAAACTCACTCATAACTCCCTTATCCGAATATTTATATCAACAAAGTCACGTGTGACCTCGTATGACCCCGGAAGGCATAAGTTCCGGTGTTGTCAACGAGTTCAGTTCTATGGAATCTTCTCGCGGAAACACGAGATTCCGAGTGACCAAGAACTCTGGCGGTCATCCAGTATTCATAGAACCGTAGTTACATACGTAACTATCGTTCTATTTCATCCTTACTGACCGCCAGAGGCGGTGCTTTAGCACTGGATGACCTATACCAACAGAGTCACGAGGAAGTTTGAATACTCACCCTATAAGGATGGCCTAGACGGACTCTGCAGGAGGACCACACCCAGCGGGTGAGGGGCGGCAACATTCACCCTGTAGTATCTGGCGAATGTGCTCGGGAATGGCCATGTGGCCGCAGCACATATGTCCTCCAGGGGCACACCTCTCAAGGTCGCCCATGACGTGGAGACACTCCTGGTAGAGTGGCACTTTACTTTGGGTGGCAAGGGATGGTCATTCGCTTTGTATGCCTGGGCAATGACGTCCACGATCCAGTGGGACAAGCGCTGTTTTGAGAGCGCACAGCCCCTTCTAGGACCACCGTAACACACAAAGAGCTGCTCAGACTGACGTATGCCTGCGGTAGTCTGGACATAAGCTCCAAGGGCCCGCACCGGGCATAGGAGTCTTGACCTCTCTTCCCCCTCTCCTGATGGGGGGTCAAACCGTGCCAGCCGGATAGGCCGATTAAAATGAGAGCGTGCCAGAACCTTAGGGAGGAACGCTGTGTTCGGCCATAAGGTGACACCTGAGCCATCTGAGTTCCACCTCAGACACGAGCTGTTCACGGACAAGGCCTGAAGCTCGCTTACACGCTTTGCTGAGGTGATGGCAAGAAGGAAAGCAGTCTTAGCTGAGAGCCACTTCAGTTCTGCCTGTAACAAAGGTTCAACAGGAGGCGAGCATAGGGCACCCAGCACCAAGGGCAGGTTCCATGTAGGGAACCTTGGGATATTCGGGGGGCGAAGCCTCAGAGCTCCCCCTTAAAAAGAGGGATACCAGCCTATGGCTCCCCACTGTGCTGTTGTCAGCCCTTGCATGTTGAGCTGATATAGCAGCCACATACACCCTGACGGTAGCGGGACACCGGCCGTCGTCCAGGAGGGACTGCAGGAACTCAAGGGTCGTAGGCACCGAGCAATGTACTGGGTCCTCATTTCGCCCTTGGCACCAGTCAGAAAACAGTTTCCACCTGTTTCCGTACTGCCTACGAGTAGATCTACTCATATGGTGCCCTAGCATTTGAGAATAGTCTTCCTGACAGACTCTATGCAGTCGCTCAGCAGTGGGTCGGGGTGCCACATCCGACCCTCCAACTGAGACAAGAGGTCCTTCCTGTTGGGGAGACGCCAAGGCGTCCCACAGCAGAGTCTGTGCAGCAGATGGACAGGCCCGCACCTAGCTGGGTTAAATAAGGAAGTTTAACAGGACAGCCTAGCCAGCTAGAATCAAGCAACACGGCTACCAGGAGCGGGGGCGAGAACACTGCCTTCACTGGTTGAGTTGATAACGAATTCCAGATGCAGCGTAACCGGGAGCGGGTGCGAGAACACAGCCTCCACTAGCTACCTGCTGAACGTAAAGAGTAGAGCAATGCTCCTACTCGCCGAACACAGAGAGGGATGTAAATGCCCTACACCCACGTTACCAGCAGAGGGAGCGAGAGCACTGCCTTCACCTAGGTGGATTAGATAAGGACATTTAACAGGGCAGTTTAGCCAGGCAGCTGCTGCTAGAATGAAGCAGCGCGTCTACCAGGAGCGGGGGCGAGAACACCGCCCTCACTGGTTGAGTTGATAACGAATGCCAGATGCAGCGTAGGCGGGAGCGGGGTGCGAGAACACAGCCTTCACCAGCTACCTGCTGAACGGAAAGAGTAGAGCAACGCTCCTACTCGCCGAACACAAAAGGGATGTAACTACACCCATGTTACCAGCAGAGGGAGCGAGAGCACTGCCTTAGCTAGCTGGAAAAAATAAAGAAGTTTTAGCAGGACAGCTTATCCAGTCGGCTGCTGCTAGAATGAAGTCTAGGGGTCTGAAGCTTGAGCTACCCAGTAGTTGAGCTGCTGCTGGGAGAAATAACCGACAGCCGGCCCCAGACCCTCAGTACCTTGCCCCCCGGCCTCTGGCTCTGGGGGGGCGACGATTAGGCACCGGATACCGAGGCTGCCTTGGGGGCGAGTTAACAGGACTGTAGTGGGCCGGCCCCCTCGTGGGGCGCTGAGGCCCATGGCGGGCACCGGGGTGAGCCGGTGGATGGGAGCGGCCTCGGGAGGCAGACGCGGAACCTCTAGGCCTACCGGGGGGGGGCATGTCTCTGCGAAGAGCTGAGAACTGTTGCCTGGTCTGACTAGCTTGGACAGTCCGTTCGAGCACCTGTACGGCAGCTGAACCGAACAGCTCCCCCGGCTCCACTGGGACAGCACGGAGAGTCCTCCTACATGTCTCTGATAAGGGTGACTGTGCCAGCCAAACCTGGCGACGAGTCTGGACGAGAGTGGACATCAGGCGCCCAAGCTCTCTAGACATCAGAGCAAACGCCTGTAATGAGGCGTCACTGAGGCTGGTAGAGGAAGCGCTGAGAGCATCCTGCTGCAGGGAAGCTGAGAGGGCGAGCATGAGGTGAGAGAGGGAATTGCCTATACGGCCCATGCGCGCCGCTGCATCGTAAGCCTTAGTGAGCAGGTCATCAGTGACCCGACATTGGAGTCGAGGGCACCTGGCCTCCGACCTCAGAGCAGAGTGTTCATTACAGTGCATTGTCCCTGTCAAATAAACGATTAAATAAAATAACCAATTGTGCGCCGTGAGAGGGGAGCGAAGACACTCTCCTCACTAGCGTCGTAACAGTTAGCTTGAGCGAGAACACTCAGCTAACTGGAGGATGGGACAGGTAAGGAACCAATGTGTGCCATGAGAGGGGAGCGAAGACACTCTCTTCACCAGCGTCGTAACAGTTAGCTTGAGCGAGAACACTCAGCTAACTGGAGGATGGAACAGGTAAGGAACCAAAAGTGTGCAGTGAGAGGGGAGCGGAGACGCTCTCTTCAGTAGTGCAGTAACAAATTAGCTTGAGCGAAAACACTCGGCTAACTTGGACACAAGTTAGCGATCTCACCGACTGACGTGCAGGAGCGTCCGCTCTTAACCGGTCCGGCTCCTGGGGTCCGAGCGGTGAACACCACGGTCCCCTCCCTTGGGAGGCGACAGCTTGTCGCAGCCTTTGGAGGGCGAGCGTTTCTAGCCCGCAGCTCCGATCGAGACGATCACAAGGCTACAGGTAGCGATGAGCTAGAATCGAATTTTCAATAAGCTAGCTTGGCTTCTACTCAAAAAGTAGTAACCTGCGCAGCGAGAAGATGAAAAAGAACTGAACTCGTTGACAACACCGGAACTTATGCCTTCCGGGGTCATACGAGGTCACACGTGACTTTGTTGATATAAATATTCGACCTACGCATGCGCGAGACAGAAGATATCCAGTGCTAAAGCACCGCCTCTGGCGGTCAGTAAGGATGAAATAGAACTCCCTCATGAGGGAACTTTGTGATTTTAGCCTTTGCAGACCATTGTCTTTTTTGGTATTGCATGCAGCCCTAGTCTTAGTACATTAACTGTTGTATTGTATTGTCAGTATGATTTATATTTTGCCATGCTGTGGACCTACAGTATAGCCTCGGATTAGAATATGATCAGCTAGTCACACAGCACTACTGACAAGAGAAGTGTAGTGATAAGTTCACTGTGAATCAAGAGTGCAACAAAAGAGCTCATGCAGAGTGCAGACCAGAAAGCATTTCCTTAGACTGTAAATATAAGAGATGTGTTTTGACAGGATGATGTTAACACGGTACCCGCACATCAGTTCAATTGTTACTCCTCCTATTAGAACATAACATTTCATATTTCAATAACCTAAAGTGTAGCAAAGCAAGTCGAGTTTTGGAACAGGGTTCAGGGATAGACACATTGATTTTAATGTTTTATGTGTCACATTAAGATGGCAAACCAGAAAGTAGATATTTTCGCATGATGGGTGAAAAAGTAACTTTTGGTCAGACTTCAGGAACATTAATATACTGTCAAAATGTGAATCTGCTTAACAACTACGTCAGTATTGTTTCTCCCAGGGGGGTAATGTTGGTCTAGACTGTGGACTAAATAATGTAACAAAAAAAATTACAATTTAGTGACAGAAAAACAAGTTTATCTATAATAATAATATAGATTATATTTTTAATGCCGCTTATTTCTATTTCTGTGCTGCACACACCATATAAGGACTACACTGGAAGAATTATTCATCAAAAATGTAAATGTTTAAATATTTTGTGAAAGCACCAAACAACCCTACAATATGTTCGGAATATCGATATTGAGTTATTCATCAGAAATATCTCCACATTGCAGAGCCCTAATTTCCACTTGACACTTCACTTGAACGATTATTACAGTGATTGTGTGACATCATTATTTCTTCCCATGGTTCTCACCTGCTGTGTTTGTGTGTCAGTTCTTCCTGCAGGACACTAAAAGTAGCAACGGGACGTTCATCAACAGCCAGAGGTTGAGTCGCGGCTCGGAGGAGAGTCTGCCCTGCGAGGTTCTCTCCGGAGACATCATCCAGTTCGGCGTCGACGTCACTGAGAACACACGAAAAGGTACATATGAAATATATTTACAAACATACAATTCTAGTAATAGAGTGGCGAAGTCCCTCCCACTTACTTCCGGGGTATGGGACCTTATTCCGGAAAAGTTATGCATTGAAGTCAATGGGGAGAGAAAACTTATCTTTCGATCCCGTTTGAATTGTGCCATGAATTACACATATGATGTTTGTCAATCTTAAAAAATCATTTCCATGTCAAAAAAGTCACAGTTTGTCGTAAAACTGTTGAAATATAAGACTTTGAAAAATACGTAACTAGAAAGACTACAAATCCCAGAGTCGCGTAAGTGATGTCACAATTGTTTACCTCCACCATTCAGATACCTAAGATCAGCGCAATATAGATATAATCTATCTATATGGCGCTGGCTAAGATAAGATAACTTTAACAAGATGCCTGTGTGCTTAGTACCAGGTTGTTATTATACCAGCAATGGGTCTTGCTCGTTCTTTTGCTTCCCGTCTGATGAAACGACCAGGAGTGGCTTGATCAAGTTAGCTACCTAGCTAGTAGCTAGCACGTTAGTTAGCATTACAGCCTTGTCATTTTTATTAGCCTTAACATGAAGTAACATTAAGTAACCCAAAATGTTAAACAGTAAGAGTAGTAGTCATATTTCGTGAACCCTTTGAATAGTACTGTCACCGGTGTGATCATTCTATAATACACCATTTAATTCCGGGGGAGAAATGCTAACGCTAACGTTAGCATCGGCGATCTTTTCTACTTCATGCTATCTGCACAAATGGTTGACATTAAACATTAAAACGACCAGGCAGTTCAGAGAGAATCAAAGGAAGGCAGGCAGGCAGCTTTGCATGACTTTCTTCAGGACGTGTTTCATTGTGGTGATAGTCAATCGTTTGTTGACAAGACAGTAGTGACGGCCATCTTGGTGACGTGTGTGGTTGACCAGAGATGTAGTTCATTGAGCCTTTCACACAAACAAATGTGTTACTTCACAGTTTTACAACACATTTTAATTTTTTTGAATTGCAAAATTATCTTTTAAATTGACAAACATCATATGTGTAATTCGTGGCACAATTCAAACGGGATCGAAAGATAATCTTTCTCTCTCCATTGACTTCAATGCATAACGTTTCCGAAATAAGGTCCCATGGGGCTCAACCGGAAGGGGAGGGACTTCGCCACTCTATTGTAGTACCCAGGTTTAAAAATGAAGACATGCTAAGAGAGATGAGGATTGTAAAGAATAAATTAATTTGGTTACAGTGAGATACAACGGAACTATTTTTGTCCCTACTCTACCAGCCTTTAAATGCACACATACAACCCTGAAATAATTACACTTGACTACCCCTTAATAGTACCTTAAGGCTCATTTTGTAAAGGTCATGGACTCCATACTGTTGGCATACAAAGTGCAGAGCAGATATTGAGGTCAGATTTTCAGCTCCACTTATACCTCTTTCATTCTGGAGACCAAATGCACATTCAACCTGCCGTCATAAAACCACAAGGTTTATTTTATATTAAGGCATGGCTACTCATGATGCTCACAGCACCCCTGTGTATCTGTATCAAATATCAAAATGTATGAAATATAGTATTTAGAATAATAGTTACAATCAAATGAAATGAATTTCCTTCTAACTATATGGAAATAAATTATAGACGGCTTTTAAAATATCCCACATTTTTCAAGAATTTGCCATTTTCTTGCAATCTAGCCACAGAAAAGTGAAGATCAACTACTTGTGTACTTTCTTAATCAATTACCCTGTATATACAATATGTATTTGTATCATTTATTGTTGTCAGTAACAAAATATTTGTCTTGCTCATTCACAGTTAAATAAACAGTTGCTTTGAGAAGTAGGGGCGTGCACAATTTTAAAGCAAAACATCAACAAGTGTTGGGCGTTAACATGATGGTTGTCTGTTTGTGTTTCCAGTCACCCATGGCTGTATCGTGTCAACACTCAAACTCTTCCTACCTGATGGGATGGAGGCACGGCGACGAAGCGAGTAAGCATTCTTATTGGTTTAGACTCACCCATGAAGCTATCACATTGATCACTTATACATTGTAACAAAATGTTAAAGTTTCTGGTCATTTATCAAAAATTATTGTTGGAAATTATTAACCAGCTACTAATAGTTGTAATATATGTCTGCTTTTTGCAAATGATGCTGTTATTGCCTGTCTGGCTGCTTTCACAAACACACACACCAAATTTCTGCTTGCATAGTGATGTGATTAGTTTCACTCTAGTTGTTGACGAGGACATTTGTCAACAAGCTGTGGGGGAAATAGAGTGTGTGTGTTCATTGTTGAACTTGCGATAACCATTTGAATTCTAATGGTCTAATTTGATGTTCACATATATTCATGCTGAGTGTTTGGGAATGAAGGATATTGTGGTTACAAATAACAGTATCACAATTATAGTGTGTGTGTTAAATGCGCTGTAGCAGACCATCAGCTGACCCAGCATGAGCTTCCTACTGTACTGGGAGTCCCGTGTGTTTGTGTGTGGAGATGCCGGGACACGGGGGCATAGTGGGCAGCGCCATCTGCCCCACTCCGGCTTTCAGTCTGGAAAACACAGACGAGCATCCTGACCTGCGTGAACACAGACAAAAACAAATCTTGGCAAATCTAGAGTTGGTATCCAAAACTCTATGACTACTTTGATTTGAGCTCTGATTTTGGTCTCTTATGGACCACACAGTGGATTGTAGTCTGCATTTAAACCATCCTAGTATTAGGAGCAGTGACAGAGATATATCTGTCTCTTCATCTGCCAAATGCTTCACCAGCTGGTCTATAACTGTCAGTTTACTGCCGAGTACATCGTGAACAGTGGGTCTTTTAAGCTTTTTTTGTTGAAATTGGCGCTACAACAGCAGTGAGAGTGAAGCATCGTTGTGGGGCGGGCAGCAGAAATAATGACTAAAAAATGTATGTAAAGCTTGAAAACATGGATTAACTCAAGCCTCACACTAGGACAGTTAATGTTAATATTGCCAAGTTAGCCCAACGACAAAACCTGGTTTCAGGAAAAATGTAAAATCCCATGAAATACTAGAAGCGTTTCCCTTTAAGTCTTGTGCTCCATTGACTCGATACACTTTGGCGCTGCATTTCAGAGCACTAAAGTTATTTAGAGACGGTGAAACTGTTTGTGTTGTAAATTTGTTTCCTTTTTATTTCTGGCTTTTGCTGAAGTTTTTTTATTGGCTGCATTTTGATCAGGTCATCGGCCAGGGTTTGGTTGATCAGCCACTGGAGATTATTGGCTTACATTTGTTCTTAATACTTTGATCGGAGCTCCCTATGAACCTCATCCAAAAAAGCCAATCACATGAAGCACCGATCCCAACTGAAACGGTTTCAATACTCATTAGCCTGCTTTAAAGCCAGATGTATTTAACTCCTTCATATTGGTATCACCATCAGCAAGAAAAATCCATTATCGTTTGGGCTCTACTTACTGAGGCATCACAGTTCCCAAATGAGAACAATTTAGCTGCTGAAAATACCTACACAGATAAAACTGATGTAACTGGGCTGAATTACAGTAAATATACTCTTCACAGAATCAAATTATTTTTGGAATTAGGTTAATTATAAACGCATGATTTTCTGTAATTAATTGTGATTAATCGCCTTGTTATGCGCAAAATTCAATAATAAATTAAAAAGTAGTATATTGTTCAATTTTATTAAAAAAATACTGCTATATGAACAAAAGGGCAATAACATTTGGTTTGCAAACAGTTTAAATAAACAAGGTGCTTTTTTATCAGTTTCAGTTAGTTATTTTAACTGCTAACAGTAGCGGTTAAAATATTTCTTGTAAATCTCAACTTCAACATTAATTAATGAAATCAAATATAAAACCAAAGGTATTTGCTACTGCCAGGGTATTAACGTTTTATCTAGTTTGTTATAGAAGAACAAGTTCCCCTCAGAGTCCAGAGAGAAGAAAATCCAACTTTGCAGCAGTTACAAATAACTTTGGTTCTATCAGCTCTGCCGCCTGAAGAGATGTAAAATGTCCGTGTAAGAGTTCGGTACCTTTCTCCATGATTCATTCCCCGCAACTTCTTTTCTGCTCATGTGACGCTGCAGCAGTCTTAGGCCCGCCCCAAATGCTCTCATTGGTTGAGACGCGCGATGACGCCCATCCTAAGCCAATACTGATCAACATCCCACCCCTCCTGTGACCCATGGTTAGTCTGTATATGTATTCAGAGCCAGTGAGCAACGGACTTTCATAATAATAATAATAATAAAAAAAAAACTGTTAATGCGCGATAAAATAATTGTTAATTATTAATGTGTTAACGCGATAACTTTCCCAGCCCTACTTAATTATCAGGGATGCAAACTTGTCACCTTTCGGCGAAATTCGCCGTTTTGAATCCAAAATAGGTCGTTTATGTGATTCATGTAGATCTGCAATAAAAATATTTTTGGGGTATGGGGGGGGGGGTCTGGGACCCGGAGTAATCTGCGGCCGCGAGCTGTTATGTGCCATCATGACACGCATGGTGTTCTTTTTTTATATATTATAATGAAGCGCGAGCTGTGTGCTCGAGTCTTCCTGCCTGTCGGCTCTGCTCATAGATGTATAATAAGGCTCTGCTGCTCCGGGATGAGGGTCTAGCTTCAGCAGCTACATTACCTACGGTGCGTTCGTTAATATTAACTGTGCGGTCCGGAGTCACTGTGGCACAGACTGGACCGCTGGTGAACAGCTGTTAGAACGGGCCGTTCAGGTGTTCACCTGTCGGAGCGGCAGAGCGTGATGTGCACTGAAAAGTCTTTCTGTTGCAATATTATTTAATGAATCGTTGAGCTAGCTAACTAGCATACATTGTCACTATCTGCTAACGTTAGCTTTAGCCTTCGTTTTCAAATAGTTTTTTTCATAGGCTATAAACGGAGGTGGTATAAGTATCTTGTACTTGAGTAAAAGTAGAAGTACTCAGATCTTGTACTTGAGTAAAAGTAGAAGCACTCAGATCTTGTACTTGAGTAAAAGTAGAAGTACCAGAGTGTAGGAATACTCTGTTACAGTAAAAGTCCTGCATTCAAAATGTTCCTCAAATAAAAGTAGAAAAGTATTCTCATCAAAATATAGTTAAAGTAGCGACAGTAAAAGTAGTGATTGTGCAGATTGGTCCATTTCAGAATAATAGAGTGTCTACTTCTAGTGTAGTAGAAGAACAAAGTAGCAAAACATTGAAATACTTAAGTAAAGTACAAGTATCTCAAAATTGTACCCAAGTATAGTACTTGAGTTTATGAACTTAGTTACTTTACACCACTGGCTATAAAGATAGAAAGACTAAGCCTTGCACAGAGGCATGAAAATACATTTTCAAAATGCTCAACAGTGCTGCCAAAATTATAAACTGACTGCTACACAATTAAAATAAATGCTTTTATAAATGTCTATTAGATGTGACTCTTTGGCGTTTCTGTTATTAACTGCTTTAGTTGTTCTGACTGCTAAAATCCTCTGCTATTCCGTGGGGTCGGGGGGCTCGGATCCTTGTCACCTTTTTCATACCTGATGAGTTTGCATCCCTGATTATAAACGCCCTTTGTAGAGACAATATGGAGGAAATTAGACCATCATAGGCTGATGTATCAGTGGTGCCACCCACCATCACACATCCACAATAGTCTGTGCAGCTCTGTCTCTATGAAGCACAGCTGGAGAGACAGTGATGTGGAGTTAAATCAGATGGATTTATTATTAGCTGAAGAATGTGTCTGCTCCCCGCGTGTTAGCATTAGCCATCTGGAGGTTGGCCAACACTGTATCATACAGTCGTCCTCTGTGTGCCAGCAACGTATTGAAAAATTAAACCAAATATGTGGCCTTTGAGTACCTGATTCATTGTTATCTTTGATTACTGTAGGTGTGAACCTAAAAACTCAATTAACTTTTGAAGTCAAAAAGTCTGAAAATCTTTAATAATTATGAATACTATTCTAACATTCTGACACGTTTGGTAAAAAATACCTGGCCAGTAGATCTAACCATTGAGCTATCTCATGCGTTAAAATAAAAAAGCATGAGAATGTTATACTTGTATTCATTAAAGAGTATCTGACGTGTTATATGCACTGTTCACTGCCAAGTATGCGGCCGATTCCAGAACGTGCAGAAAATCTCCCCCTTTCACCTCTGTATCTCTAATAAAGGCTCCAAATAATATCTTTCAGAAAAAAAGAGAGAAAAAACAGTGACTCATGGAAACGTAAAACAAAATGATAGGTTGTCAACAAACCCATGTTACTCTGTGTTGCATTTAATGCAAAATTGTGACATCACGAATGGGGGCGTGGCCGGAGAAGTTTGACAAGAATCTGCTTTCCTCCTCTGTGTGATTCAGTGTGTTGTCACGTGTGTTACATTATATATATATTCAAAGATCCAATTCACAAGTTAGAGCATGTTGTAAATCAAAGCTCTAACTCTGCTGTATTTAATGTTTCACAGTTCTAGTTTCTGTGCAGGAAAAGCACAATTTCTTCTTTTATCTTGTGAAATATAGTTCAACCAGGTCAAATATGACTGAAATATAGAAGTAAATCTATCAATACAAAGTGTTTGAGGTTTTTTGTTCATGACAATAGCTTGCTTTTGTTTCCCCAATTCAGTAATCACCTGCCAAAATTCCTTAACACCCACACTCACACACACTGTCACACCCTTTTGTGAGAGTGTGTGTCAAGGATGTTTCATAATCACAACATTTGTGGAGCTTTAGAATGCTATTTTGATGATACAAATGATAACCTTGACACCTCATGCGGAGCCAGGTTAGTTATCCAGCGCACCTTTACCCTCCCACAGACCATAAAAAGCCATTGCATGGCAGAAAGGGGCGTTTGTTTCCTCACAGTGAGTAGCAGGAGGGGTGGAGCGATAGTAAGTTGCACAAGTTAAAGAAGGAAAATCAGCTGTTTGGCTCAGAGGAAGAGGAGGATCAGCAAAGAGTAG